AAAAAAAAAAAAAAGCCAGGCTGATGAGAGCTCGGAGAGAAAGGAGAAGAACTACCATACCTCACACCATGCAGACGGGGAGAAGCTGTGGGAGAGAAACCATAGCAGCAAACGCGTCTGGCAGGTGCTAGATGACCCGGCAGTCCACCGTGGAACAAGAGTGTTGAGAGCCAGAGGCAGGGGCTTCCTGGCAAAGTAGGGTGCCTGCAAGCACTGTCAGTAGCACTAAAGGGCTTTGAAACACTTGTTGAGCAGCAAGAGGCAGGGCTGGTCCCAGAAGCCGAGCGGACAAGGCACACAGGCCCCGGTCTCAAAGAGTAGGGCCACGGACTTTGGGGTCTCAAAGAGTAGGGCCACAAACCCCTTAGGTTTCAGAGTCGGGTCTTCACCGATGGTTCTGAAGAGTGGGCCTGCTGTTCGTGAGTGCCAGGCTGTGGGGCTGGATCTGTTGCCCACCCCTGAGCAGATTAGGACACTTCTGCTGATCAAGGGGGGGAAGAACAGGGCTGCCTGGGCCTGAGGGGGTGGGGTGGCCACACAGCCGGACTAGAAACATCCCAGGGAGCCTGGAAAGTGGAGCTGAAACTCAGGACTGTAGGGCCTCCGTCTAGACTCCAGAGAACATGGCCAATGCCCAGTGTCTGACGGGCCACTAGGTGGTCTCGGAGAACAGAGGATTGTTGTCAAGCCTTGGGAGCTAATGCAGGCTGTCCTGCTGGGTTTCGGACTTGCTTCTCACTTCCATCAGGCCAGCTGTGACTCTCGGCCACCCTATCGGACAGGGTAGAATTGTGGGTTTCTTGGACTGTAAACCTTTTTAAAAAATTATGATTTCTAATAGGTTGTTTTAATATAACTTAATATTAATTGAGAGTTAATACATATGTCATATCATTCCATAGTTCAGTCGCATCAAGCAGCATTATACAATTGCTACCACAATCAGTTTCCAAACATTCTTTTTCTCCCTTGAGATTGTAAATCTTTACAGGTATGGGAAGTCTCATCTTTCTGCCTCGGATTAGCTGGTGGATTCGAACTGTAGACCTTGCTGTTAACAAGCCAGCATGTAATTCACTACTCCACAGGGCTTCCTTGGACTCCTTTAGTGCCTGTTACTCCCTTCTTCTCTCCAGTTTCTCCCATTTGTAATGGAAATATCTATCCTGCCTTCACTATTGAACTCTGAAAGCAGATGGCTTGTGTCCAAGATCTCCCAGGTGCACAAATGAAGAGGTAGTTTCTTTTTGTTCTCAGATTGAATTTGGACTTGGAGTTGATTTGAGGATACGGATTTGGGGGAGCCAGAGGATAGAATGTCACAAATTGAGTTGTGTCCCCCTCCCAGTATATGTGTCAACTGGGCTGGGCCATAATGCTCAGTGATTTGGCAGTTGGGTGATGGTGTAAATCATCTTCTGATCAGTCTATCAGTTGTAAGGGGACTAGGCGGGATGTAATGACTTACTCTGTTCACAGCCTTGATCTTATGTAAGCGAAGTTTTCCCCAGTGTGTACCCTTCATCCCTTTATCTTACAAGAGATCAAGGAGAGAGAAGTAAGCAGAAAAAGAGGGGGCTGTCTACCACCCAGAAAGAAGAGCATGTGCTTTGGACCCAGGGTCCAGGGTTGAGCACCTCCTAGACCCAAGAGAAGATCGGTGCTAAGACAGGGAGCGATCACAGGAATGCCACTCCTCCTGCCTTAGAGCAGACAGCGCCAGAAAGCCTGCTCCCTTAGAGGTGACGCCCTGAATTTGAGCCTGTGGCTTCCTAAGCTGGAAGGACACATTTCCGTATTTTAAAGCCATCCTCTGTGGCCTTCCTATTACATCAGCATTGGATAACTGAGCCATACCACCCATCGATATTCTAAGAGAAACAAAGCCACTCGCATAAACTTGGCGCCTCTGGTTGGCCACAGCACCTCAAGTTTGGTTCATTTATCAGAAGAGCAGTCCGTGCTATTTAGAGGCAGGACCGGATCCCAACCGTGAAGCTGTTAAATGCCAGTGTAGGGTGAACTCCATAAACAGGAAAACAGTGAGAAATGGTAGGCTCTAGGGCATACCTCATTTTTCTAGCCGGTGTTAGAAAGCATAGAAAATTTTAGGAAC